CCCGGGGGTCCCAGCAGCCCCCTCTGACAGGCGGTCAGCTGCCTCAGCCTTCTCAGGTCGCTTCCCGCCTCTCAGAGACAGAGAAGACCCCGGCGGGGGGGCGGGGGGGGCTCCTTGGTTCCTTCCTTAAGGTGTCTGTCTCCCACCTGAGAACCTTGTCAACCCACAAAGAGGGGCTTCCAGAAACCCTGCAGCACTTGGAAGGCAGGAGGCCCCCATTTGTCACCCCCCCCATGAGTGTGGGGTGCGGGGGAGGGGCTTCTGGTGGATTACTGTCTAAGCAGCTGATCTACCATCAAAGCAACCAAAAGAGGCTTCAATCTCCCCCGTTGGCTCCATTGCCCCCCAAAGGGGTTTCCTTGGGGGCCAGTCAGGGCATCGTCGGCAGCCCCGGCCATCGCCAAGCAGGGCCTGTCCCGGGAGGGAATCCCCACTGAGGGGGGCTGGGGGTGGAAACTCTTCTTCCCTGTTCAAGAAGGGGGGGGACACACAGGCAGAGACCCCCCAGTGAGGCCTCTTGGGGGGTGCACGGTTCCTCTCCTCCTATTAATCCAGGGAGGAAGAGGGGAGGATTTGTAGGAATTGTCCAGGCCGGTGGGGCTCCCTGGGGGCCTGGCAGGGAGGGGCCTGACCTCCCCCGGCCTCAGGGGATTCTGCCCTTCCTCGGTTGGGCTGCCAAGCACCAGCTCGAATGAAGCCTGGTAGATGCCACACGCTGGCTACGCCCCGTTCCTGTGGCTGCCCCTCCCTTGGCGACTGGCAGACGTGCGACTGGGGGCACTTCCAGAATCAGCCCTGGTAGGTGCCCCTTGGTTCAGGCCGTGGTGGGTTCCCTCGGTTGCTGAAGGGGGGGGGGCTCGAGTGAGGACCACCTGCAAATAGCAGCTTCTGGGGAGGAGAAAGAGGAGATTGAGATCGCGGAAGAGCTGAACCGGAGAGGAGATTCGGGGACCCAGCAGGACCCTCGCCCTGCCAAGCGGGCTGCTGCTGCCTTTTCAGGGCTGCCCCAGCTGGAGGCGGCGTATTTCTTCCAAAGAGGCCTCAATTTCTCTGGGGCTCCCTCCCTGCGCCCCATCCCCTCCCCAGCTTCATTGACCACTCTTGTCTGAGACCCCCTGATGGTTTTGGAGGAGATGCTGCCCCCCCCCCCCCCCACCAAGGGCACCCTGAGGTGCAGACAAGCCCACTGCACTCCCTGTGCGTGACGATTCTTGATTCTTGACGGATGTATCTCTTCCTTTATGCACACTGAGAGCATTTGCACCAAGACAAATTCCTCGTGTGGCCAATCAAGAATCCTGTTCTATTCTGTGGAAGAAGCAAGGGGGGCCTGGAGGCCTCGGAGGCCCCAGGAGGCTTCAGCAATTGCGGGGAGAAGGCCAGGCCAGGCGGCCTCAGCCAGGCCCCTCACCATGGGCAGCCTGGTGTTCTCTCAGCCGCTGCGGGGGAGGCCAGTGCCCAGCCGGCCCACCTGGGGGGGCGCCGGGAGATCCCCAGAGGATCAGCCAGTGAGGGAGGCGAAGGGATGGTGGGGGCTCCCTTTGGCCCCATCAACAGGTCTCCCCCAGGCCTGTCGCTGGCCACAAATTCACCCGAGGGGCAGAGCTGAAGCAGCCCGAGACACTGCAGGGCACTGTCTCAAAATAGCCCCCAGCCCCTCCTGCCCCCTCGCCCCGCTCCCTGAGATGCCCTGTCCCCCCCTTTCCTTTGCTCCAGACTGGTGAAGGTGGGGGGGGTGAGCCCAACTGAGGCAGTTTCCCCCCCCTGTTTCTCTTGGGGGAGCCCTCGGCTTGGGGGGGGGGGCCCTCTGTCCGGCCAAAGGGGACCCTGGTCTCCAGGGGGCAGTTGGGGCTCCCCGCGCACCCCACGCCCGGAGGGGGGGGGGAAGGCGGCCGAGAGCGGGGCGAGGGTCTCTCCGCAGCAGACCTCGGGGCGCCCCGCACCGGCCCTGCCCGCACTTCGTTCCGGCCCGGCGACCGAGGAAGCGAGGCGAAAGCCCTTTCCTATCGACAGGAAGCAGGGAAACCTCCGGCCCGCCGCGTCCCCACCCCGAGCGGGCGGAGGGGCGGAGGAGAGCCGTGGGCGCCGGAGAAGCGGCTGCCAAGGAGGCGACAAGCCCGGCCGAGCTCTGCCCGCGCCGCCCCGCGCTGAGCCGAAGGGAGCGGAGCGCGGGAAGGCGGTGCCTGGACGGGGCACAAGCACCGACGACGGTAAGCGACCCCGGACCCGCGGCGGCCGGGCTGCCCGGAGGAGTTGGGGGGGCCGAGAGGCTTCCCCAGAGGAGCCGCTGCCCTCGCCAACGGGAAGCCCGCCCGGGGTCCTGCGGGGGCTGAGCCGGGGCAGGTCGAGGGTCCGGGGGGCATCCGGAGCGCCGCTTCGCCTTTTCCTGCGGGACCCCCTCCGGCCCTCGCATGGGGAGCCAGCCGGGCGGGGGGAGGGAGGGGCCGTCCTGGGCGCTTCTGCGAGACGGGAGCGGGGCGGAGCGCGGGCCTCCCTTCTGCCTAGGCCGGGCTCCGGGCGGGCGCGCTCCGGGACTGCCGTCGGGCAGCAGCAGCAGCAGCAGCAGCCGATCTTGGTCCGTCTCCCTAGGCCGGAGCCCCGGGGCCGCCCGCGCCCCGCTCCCGCCGCGCGGCTTGGCTGGGCTGACGAGGGCGCCGGCCGCTTCCTCTCGCGTCCCCGGAGAATCCGCCCTTGGCAAGCCCGCGCAGCCCGAACGGACTCGCCCGCTCGACGGCCGGACCCGCCGGGCTCCCCTGCCGCCCCCGCCGCCGCCTCGGCCTGTCGGTGCGGACCGCGGGGAACTTTCCGGGAGTTCAGGCTGGCCCGAAGCCCGGACGGGGCGCCCACCGGGGCCTCCCCGGGGCTCCGCCCGCTAATCCTGTCCCAGCAGGCTCCCCACCCCCCCGCCGCCTGTTGCGGCTCCTGCTGTGCTTGGGAGCGGATCTCGCCCCCGCCGCCGCTTTGGCTTCCCAGCCTGGTTTCCCCGCCAGGACCAGCAGCTCCTCCCGCCCGAGGCTGCGGAGAGCCGCTGCGCTTCCATCTATGGAGCGGCGCTGGGCAGCCTTGCGAAAGCGGCCCACGTGTCTCTCGGTCCCGGGCGCTGCGCAGACGACCAGGGAGTCCCGCCGGCCAGAGCGGGGTGCGCGGCTGATCCCGGCCCGGGGAGGGATTGGGCTGCGCGGAGCAGAGACCCCCTTGCCCCAGACCGAAGGGGAAGCGGAGGGCAGCCAGGCGGCGGCGGGGGGGTGGGGGGCGGCGGCTGGGCGGCACTTCCCCTCTTGGCTCCCAGCACAGGATCCGATGGCGCAACGGGCTTTCTGGCCAAGAGTTTCTCTCAGTGGTGACGTTACTGCTCCCCCCCCCGTGCTGGTTCCCACCCCCGAAGGCGGCAGGGGCCAAAGCGATGGCCGGAGGGTTCCTGCTGCTTTCCCGGTGCTCGTTGCTGTCCCGCCTGCATTTGCCAGTCCCTGCAGACGGTGGCATCCGCCCAGGCTAAAGGCAACGGGCTGGTGAGGCCCTGGAGAGGCCAGCTGGAGGGTGCCAGGCTGATTCCCAAGCACTGGTAACTTGCCGGCAGGGCCAGGGGAGGGGGGGGGAGAGCCTCTGCGGGCCTTTGGGGAGGAGCCCCCCTCCTCCTGCCAGGGGACGGTGTCAGCAGTTGTGTACCACACTTTCTAACTGTCACAGGGAATCAAACCCCCAGCCCTGGTCTCGTTTCAGTGCCTGATGCTCTTTAGCAGCCTCCACCTTCCACCCACCCCATGGAGTGGAGGCTGCTTTGGGGCTTGAGTTCAAAGGTTCTTTTTGCCCTAAAGTTCTGGGAGCCTGTTTTGTTTTAATTCTGTAGGAATGACTGAAACTGGTGAATAAATAGTACTTATGTTCTTCTTGGGCAAAATGAAAGAAGATCAAAATAAGCGGTATAGAATCTCTTCACGTGTAAGATAAGACAAACATAATTAAAAGGGGTATAATGGTTTATATCTTAAAAGCTCGACCTCTTTTTATTCCTTGTTACTGATTTGTGTGAATTTATACAGTGTTCTTAAAGCTTCTAGCAGAAACGTTCTTCAGAATCTCATATGGAAATTACAGCTATCAATTGTCAAAGGAGGGTCCCACTTTCCATCGTTTCAGGCACAACCCTGGGCATTTATTTTTAGCACTGTTTTTTTTGGGGGGGGGGGGAGTTAGAAAATCAAGTGTTTACTGCTGGGTCAGGATCTAGGGCTGGCCCTTCTGCTCCGAAAGCTTCTACATTATACAGTAACACTTGTCTAACAATGCCTGATAGATGGGGGGGGGGGCCGGGGGGGCAAGGGGTAAGCAGCTCTTTACAAAAGTTTGCATAGAACTTAAAGCCGTGTCCAAAGTGGTTCCTGGCATGTTCTTTGCTTCGATGCCAGCCTCTGACCCTTGGGGTCCAGGAGGGATCCATTCAGACTCTGAAGCTCACCTGGATTTCTAGAAGATGTTGAAGGAAGGCGATGAAATTGAAATTAACTATTTATGTGACCTTGGGGACAACCGGCTCATGTGTCCCGTTCTTGTAAAACAGTGTGAGGGTGCTTTAAAGGCTGTGAAATTAGTTACATTTGATCTTAAAGTGAGTTTAATACAAAGAATGTGGATAGACAGACAGATGGATGGACGGGGGAGGGCGGGGGGAGCCCCTGCGAGAGTCTTTGAGGAAGATCCGTTGCTCTCTGCCCCGATGCTCTTGAGGGTGAGTCAAAGTGAGCTGATCCGGCCTGACCTCATCCTCTGTTTCGATGCTTTTTCTGACGGGGCTTGAAATCCTCCAGTTTGGTAACAGCATTTGGAATCAATGTCAGCTGAGGTTGGACATGACCTCACGCAGCCCCTTCCTCGGTCTTGGGACGCATGAGGACATCTAGAATTGTAGGCTTTCTGTGTGCAGCAAGTGGCCGAGGCAATTGTGCAACCTGCATTGGATTTTCAGTGGGAGTTGTGGAGGCACATCGTGTGCCGTCGATGCGGTTGTCTCCAGAGGGCAGGACCTTCCAGAAGGCAAGTGTGGTGATGCGTTATGCGAAGAGGTTGCCCTTGAAACCCCTGGGCCAGGGGATGGCCAGGCTGGATGGTCTCAGGGACCACGTTCCACTCCAGGACTCCACGAGATTCTGTTGGTTAGGAAGGTTTAAAAAGGCATTTTAGTATATTGGCCAAGTCAAAAAAAAAAGCTGTTTTTGTGAGAGAAATGCCTCTGGAGATTCTCAGCTCTCTGGGTCATGTTTGCTCCTGCTTTTCCAAAAGGCATCTGGATTTTCTGGGGGGGGGGGGGTCCCCCTTGAACTAAACTAAGAAGCTTCTTGGATTGGGAGGCAAAATGTTTTCAAGGAAAAAAATTAAGTTGTAGGCGAAATATTTTCCAGTACTTTTAAAATACTGATGAGAGGTCACATAATTAATATTGTCACACGTATATTTTCCCTGTCCATTTGCACGGACACGCCCTCCCAAATCTTTAAACAGGTTTTGCGGCCAGGGAGGAGCAGTGGGGAGCAGGAGGGAGAAGGCATTTTCTTTCTCAGCTGCCAGATAATAGGCTGTATCTGTTTTTAAGGGCCGTATGTTGCTGGTTTGAGATGGATTTAGAGACGGGGAAGACAGAGCATCTCTGGGCCTCCCATTGTTATTCAGCGATTCATGATTGCTGGGCATGGCGGGCCAGAGCGGCAGAGGGTCCAGGCCAGGGATGGGAGGCTGGAGGTCAGGAAGGGCAGCTTAATCAGGGGTGGGATTCAAATTTTTTAACAACCGGTTCTGTGGGCGTGGCTTAGTTGGTGGGCGTGGCTTGGTGGTCCTGTTATTGGCTGGGCGTGGCCAACTCAATATCACTCACATTGAGGCACGCATCTCCTCGCCTGGCCTCTCATGACTGTGGGGATGCTGCAACAGTCGTAAGCGTGAAAAATGGTCATGTCATCTTTTTCAGTGCCACTAACTTTGAATGGTCCCTCCACACAAGCAAAGTACCAGCAAAGGAGGGGGAAAAAACTCCAGAGAAGTTCCTGAGACAGGAAGTCTAGTCCTGCCAAGAATGTAATAAGGGTCAATGGAGAGGCAGTTTCTGTAAGCAACACCAGAATGTTTCCTTCCTGCCTTCCTTACAGGATTAGCCCAGTAATTTCTTCTAACAACCAGTTCTCCGAACTGCTTAGAATGTTAACAACCGGTTCTAGAGAATAGGTGTGAACTGGTAGAATCCCACCCCTGAGCTTAATGCACCCCAGCTGGTCATGGGCTGCCCCTCACTCTGCCCCAAAGAGACTTTTCTTGCGCCCCCCCCATGGTTCCTTTTCCCCAGTGCTGCCGGGAGGAAGGGATTTGCAGGGTACCTGGTGGGTGGGTGTGCCAGCGGGGGGGACAGGGGGGCTTGGAGGAAGTGGGGTGGCAGGAGCAGCAGCCATGGGCTTGAGGGCTGCATGGGCAGATGGCCACCTCTTGGCCCAGAAAGACACTCCTGCGCCCGCTGCTGGCCACTTGGGCTGGACTGGCACCCGGAAGAGGAAACCCCCTCTTACCACCTGCAGTAGGCAGGCCAGGTAGCCCCCCCCGACTCTCGAGCGGCCCCAGTGCAAGCCACCTGCTCCACACAGGCCTGGCCAGGTGGTGGCAGACAGGCAGCCGCGTAATCGGACCTGCCAGGTGACCCGTGTCTGCTTCCCTCCTCAGCGGGAACAGAGGACTCACGGGGAGCGTCCCTTCCTCTCTGGCCCAGGAGCTGAGCCTGCCCTGCCGGGGGCTGCTGGCAGGATGCCCCTCTTTGTGCCATCCGCGGACAGGAAGACCTCGAAGGGTGAGTGAGGAGAGCTGCCCCCTCCTCCCCAGGATCCCCTTTGCTGCCTTTGCTTTCTGGGGGTTGGGGGTGGGCTGGGTGCCTGGAAACCCCCCCACACACACACACACACCTAGCAGGAGGGCTGAGGGCGTGTGGAGACCCAGAGTGAGAGAGAGAGAGACATGGCCACGTGGTGAGTGGGTTGAGACCAGCAGGCGATGCCTTCCCACACCAACTCCTGCAAAACAAGCAGCGGGAACAGAGGGTGTGGCTGTGTGTGTTTGTGTGTGTGTAAAATGCAGAATAAAAGAATTGGAAGGGACCTTGTAGGTCATCTAGTCCAACCCCGCCCCCCATGCCCAAGCAGGAGCCCCTACACCATTTCTGACAGGCAGTCCAGTCCCTTCTTGAAAGCCTTCAGTGATGAAGCTCCCACCACTTCCAAGGGCAACTTCTCTTCCATGGGTGGATTACTCTCACTGTCAGAAAATTCCTCCTTATTTCCAGGTTGAATCTCTCCTTGTTCAGTTTCCATCCATTGCTCCTTGTCTGGCCTTCGGGTGCTTTGGAGAACAGCTTGACTGCCTCTTCTTTGTGGCAGCCCCTGAGATATTGGAAGACTGCTATTGTGTCTCCCCTGGTCCTTCTCTTTACTAGACTAGCCAAGCCCAGTTCCTGCAACTGTTGGTTGTATGTTTTAACCTCCAGTCCCCTCATCCTCCTGGTTGCTCTTCTCTAACCTCTTTCTAGAGTCTCAACATCTTTTTTACAGTGTGGGGACCAAAACTGGATGCAGGACTCTAGGTGTGGCCTTACTTAGGCTTTACAGAGTGGTATTAGTACTTCCCTTGATCTCGATTGTATCCCTCTGTTAATGCAATTTAAGATTGCATTGGCCTTTTTGGCGGCTGCTGCACACGGCTGGCTTCTATTTAGCTGGTTGGCCACTAAGACTCCAAGATCCCCCTCCCAGTTCCTGCTATTGAGCCAAGTTGCACCCAGTCTAGATGTGTCCTTTTGGTCTTTCTTGCCTAAGTGCAGGACTTTACTTTTCTCTACACTGAATTTCATTTTGTTAGTTATGGCCCAGTGTTCTAGTCTGTCAAGATCCCTCTGGATCTTGAGCCTATCTTCTAGGGTGTCGGCTATTCCTGCCAGCTTAGGATCATCTGCAAATTTGGTAAGTTCCCCTTCTATTCCCCCATCTAAGTCATGAAGAGTCCTGGGCCTAAGATGGAGCCTTGTGGCACCCAACTGCTTACTTCCCTCCATGTAGATGTAATACATTAAGGGTTACTCGTGAGTACGGTGTGGGGGTGTGTGTGTATGTGCAGAGTATTTCTCTTTCTCTGAAAGCATCACCGCATCGCCCTGGACTTCGCCTTCTCCGTCCAGACTGTGGGAGGATGCTCCGCCAGGCCCTCTTTCAGGGGAAATTCCCTGGGGCCTTCCATCGTCCCTCCTCCGCAGAGGCTCAGCCAGGCCCTTCCCCTGGGCATCATGGCCCCTACAAATCAGCCCCCTACAAATGCCAGGGAGGGGGGGGGGGTCTGGCAGTTCCTCCTCCTTGGCCAGTCCTGCAGGGGGGGGTCCTACCATGCTGGGGGGCTGGGTGGGCATCGCCTCCATTGACGAGGTCTGCCTCAAGGGTCCCCACCCCACAAAAGCATTTTTTTTGGGGGGGGGGTTGAGGTTTTATTTCTTTGTTTTTGCAAACCTCCATCAACATGCAGGAGGCACAACTGGGAAGTTGGATTGGTACATGAAGAGTTTCCGGTCAGACCATGAGGTGATGCACTGAAAATAGATGGGGGAAACCACTCCCACCGCCCCCAGCTCTTGAGGCAGCTGGGGGGGACTGGACCCCAGTGGGAAATAAGACCCCCCCCCACCCTGTGAATGAACGGCTTGTGAGGCACAAGGGCCACGGAGGGGCTGAACCATTTCGGTGCCGGCTGCATTCAAAGGGCACCAGGGCCAATGCCTGGAAAGTCTCTTTGGGCGCCAAGGTGAGGCCCCAAATTTCCGGACTGCAGCCAGCCCCCCCCCCCCCCCCCCCCCGCTCCTTCTGCATCAGGGATTCGGCTCCTGGTCCTGCCGTGTCGGAGGGAGCCAGGAAAGGGGCAGCGTTGTTGGAGTGACGCCTTGCTTTGTCCAGGGCAGCCTTGAAAGCCGGCAGAGAGGAAGTGGCAGTCACAAGAGATTCAGGACCACATAAGCCCTGGTGCACAGCAGCCCACCCCCACCCCCCCCCCCCCCCCGGGATCCACTGCTGGCATTCCTGGCTGATCGCAGATTTCTCAGGCTCCCGAGACAAACGGGCCGCGTGTCCCACTTTGGGGTTTAGCTGCTGCACCAAAGCAGCAGAAACGGTCTGTGGTGCGCCAGGGCTGCTCCCAGGTGGGCTATTCGTTTTGGGACCTCGCCCTGCTTTCTGAAAGGGGCACCTGGGAGCCGGTCCAACCCCTGGAGGTGGCTGAAAAGTAGGAGAGCCCAACAGCCGTGGAAGCAGATTTCTTTGTGGACAGGTGGAAATCCCGGCTAGTGTGGCCACTGATCGGAAGGCCCTTGCCCGCTCCCTTGGGGGCCCTGGGGGCCCGGTGTGCCTGCCGCCCACTTGCAGGCAGCATCGCCGCCCTCCGTCTCCCGGCTGAGCCTCCTCTCCCTCCAACTGTCACCAACCGACTCGGATTCTCCACAGCATTCCGGCCCCTCCCCTCGCAGACCCTGGCTGCTCCCCTGGCCCCCCCGAGTGTGGGTGCAGCACCCATCCCCCCACCCACTCTGGGCCGAACCATGCGGTGCCCCCACCCGAGGCCTCCACTGCCTGGGGCACCGGCAGCAGGCTGGGCATGACCTCTCGGGTGGGTGCCAGGTCGAGAATCCCGAGCGTGGCCCCAGGAAGTGGTGAGCGAAGAGGGGAGGCCGGGGGCAAGGGAGGAAAGGCCCCACCTGGGCCTTCATTGGTCTGGAAGAGGGAGGGGCCCCGGCATGGAGGGAGGAGGCTGCTGCTCTGCCCTCCCCAGATTGGCACTTCCTCTGTGCCAAAAGAGGCTGGGGGGGCTCAGCAAATAGGAATCCAGGGCCCCGGCTCCATTTGTGCTGTGGGGAGGCAGGGCAGGCGCCATCTTGGACCCACCTCGCTGGGGCTCCCTGGGAGAGACGGTGCCCATGGTCAAGGCTGGGCAGAGACCCCTGGAAGAGACCCCTGGAGCAGCTTTCAGTGCAGCTCCGACCCTCAAGGCTTTGGGGAGCCAAGACGTTGGGGGGGGGGGCTCCCTGTTTCCCCTCTGGCCGCCACGGGCATCTGCCTTCCTCCCAAAGGGTTCTTGGCCCAAACAACAATCCGTTGTGTGGTTTCCCACACTTGGAGTCAATCCAAGGGCTGAGGGCTTCCTGCTTGCCCCCCCCCCGAAAGCCCCCTGGGGGGTTTCCTGCCCCCTTGAACCCGGGCTCTTGCGAGGGGCAGGCCAGGAAGCGCTTGGCTCTTGCTCTGAGGCTGGTCCCCATTCAGGGCGGGTCCCTCCCTCCCCACTCGGGATCTCTTTGCGGGAATGCAGGGGGGGAGGGGTCTTCCTGCTGCAGGGGGGAAGGAATTGGGGGGGCGAGGGCAGGAAGACATTTCTGCACCCACCGCATGGAGGGGGAACCCGGGGGGGGGGCTCCCTGCCCTCTGCAGGGCTGGGGGGGGCAGAACCCTGCTCAGCTGCTTGCCTGGGGGGCCCCTCTGGGGCAGTCCTCAAAAGGAGGAACATCCTGGGGGTCTTTCCATGTTTCACCCGCCTCCCTTGCTGGAGGTGAATCCCTTGTGTGGGACTCCAGCCTGATTTCCTAACTGACAGGCAGGTGGTGAAGCCGCTCAGAGGGCGGATACCTCTGAATGCGTCTGCTCCCACCTCCGGATACCACCGTGTGTATGTGCGTGTGTGTGTGTGTGTGTGTGTGTGTGTGTGTGTGTGTGTGTGTGAGAGAGAGAGAGAGAGAGAGAAAGAGGGAGAATGAATGAGTGATGCCAGAGACACAAACCACAAAAGAGGCTTGACTCTCCTCCTTGCTGTCTTCTCCTGGAGAACCTGGGATCACCCTAATTTCCGCTCTGTACCAAAAAGCTTGTCTGGTCCTGGGGGCTTCTTGAGGGCGTCTCCTGCCCTGGAGGAGCTGATGGGGAGATGTGTGGCATGGTGGGGACCGCCAGGGGTAGCTTTCTGCAGGCGGGGCAGGCCTCTGAGCGCACAGGCCAGAGGGGGTCTGGAAGGGGTGAAGGCCGTCGCTTAGTGGAAGCTGAAGAGACCCAGTTCTGCTTCTGGGGCCCAGGGCCTGGTGGAGGGGCCACAGGGGCGGCTGAAACTGGACACAGGGGCTGAACCCCTGGACCAGCATGGGAACTGCTGATGTTTTAGAGAAGTGGGCCTCTGAGTGTGCCAATACTGTGTTTTCCCGTGTTGTTGCATGATCTAGACGAGGCTTACAGTGGAGGGCGATGCCCTTGCAAAACCTGACTAATGATTGACCGCCCCATAGAGAGCGGCCTTGATCCCCTGGAGGTCAGTGGGATCCCTTCCTGGACATTGTGGCAGTAAAAATGACTGGATCCTTTTATTTCTCCCACCAGCATGTTTTGTGAACGCCTGCGGAAAGTGGGAGGGCTGCCTCCTCTGCTGGTTTTGTAATTGTTGCACAACTTCAACTCATGGCTGGCTGAGGGATTCTGGGAGTGGAAGTCCACCAGCCATACAGTTGCCAAGGTTAGAAGCGCCTGGCCTGGACGATGTGGGCACTAGGGAACTACCAGAGGACTGGAAAAGAGCTGATGTGGTTCCCATCTTCAAAAAAAAAGGCGGGGGGAGGGGGAAAACGATCCAAGAAACTACAGACCAGTCAGCCTAACCTCAATACCTGGGAAGATAGTGGAAAAAATAACTTTTAAAAAACAGATCTGTGAGCATCAAGAAACAAATAAGGTTATAACTGGTAGCCAGCACAGGTTTATTAAAAACAAATCATGGCAAACCAATCTT